GTTGGTTGCCTCATTTTAATATTAAAAGCAAGCTTCTTGACCATGACTCAGCGCGCACGTCCTAAAAGACGTGAAAGGTCAACTGGAGAGTAAAAATGATTTTGAAGTTTGTTAATCGTCAAACCTGGGAAACTCGTTCTACTACTAAAAGTGTTTCGTTACTGAGATGTAATGATGGTATGACACCAAATGGTGCTCCAGGCCCGAAGAAGCTACTGCAGCTAGCTCGCTGCGGTAATTGCTCCCAGTACTTATCCAGGTACGAATTTCTAACAGTACAATGTCTTGCAGCTCCACTCCGCAATGTGACTTCGTTATCTTCTTGAGAGGAAATGGGTGATTTTATTAAACGCTGTTCGCTATTCTGATTTGATTCCATAGAATCATCCATATGAATCTCATGCGCATTCTCTTTTGGCATCAATATGGGGATGAGAAACAGTAAACACGCTCCAAGGGTTGCACAAGCACCAGACGCATAGAAAGCAATCTGGTACGAGTCTGACAAATCGTATACCCATCCTGAAATGCAAAAATGGAATTGTTTGATAAATAGTCTGGTAAAGTGCCGAGACCGTTTCGTGGCTGCAGGATGCGCCCTCCCCCGGGATGCATTCTTTTAATGAACTTTTCGTATTTTCTCAATGAAAATCTATAGGAAAGCTTCCTAGCCCAGAGCTTAGGCTACCTATGATGACTGTATCTTGAGACAAATGTTATATACCTATTTGTCAAAAAACGTTGTCACCAGGACGACAAAGAATCTTGTGATTTCAGCATAATTAATATATTCAGAATTCGATGAATTCAATGGCGGCAAACACTACTAATATACTATTGCGGGTATTAAACCCATCAAACAAGTCTCGCCATGAGACATTTTCCTTGAAAAATGTTCCACGTTTTCAAACCGGCAATGAGCTTCAAAGCTATATTTGCTACAGGACTGAGAATCTTGAATAACTAAAAGTGATTATATAATTATATACGACAATCCCGAGATTCTTTGCAGGCTCAAGACTGTGGACTATGTCCTGGTGACAACAACGTTTTTTGAAATAGGTGTATATCGCATTTGCCTAGTTCTACAGCCATTGTTTCTGATTGGAGACAAGTAGCATAAAGAATGTCGACCTTCATAAATTCTGTATTTCATGACTTTTTTGTCACCATTTTTGATGTGTGCATCCCTTTTTCGAGGTGCCCCTCATCCCTACTTGAACAAAAAACCTGGATGCACTCTACGTCAATAGTATTTTCTTTAGATTAAATACTCCAATGCATAAGTTTACCATGAGGTCATAAGATTCCTTATGCCAGCTTATAGTACAGCTGGTGCATCRAGCCTTTAAAAGCTTTGCAGGATAYTGAGGGGACTTGCCACAARAATAAGCAGTGAGAATTATTTATTTATGACAAAAAGGCATTGAACTATGTTACTGTTACATTACCTGCAAGAGGAGGCCCAGCAGTACAGGTGATAGCCATAAAGAAAAACTGAATTCCCATACCAGCAGCTACTTTATCATAACCAACAATGTCAGCACACAATACACCAAGCAATACCACAAAACAGCCATCAAAGACACCAAACACAACCATATAGCTAACAAAGCCAGCATAACTTTTTGTTAACGTAATGAGAGTGTGTGCCACACCAATAAACAGGAATGCCAGTTGAAASACATAAAGACGATTGACCTTAGGATGGTCACACATTTTCCCAAAGAAAAGTCGTCCAACAGTTGACCCAATTGACATCATTCCAACAAGAGTTGCAGACTGTTCATTTGAGACACCGCATTCTATTGCATATCCAGGCTGAAATAGCAAATCAATATATAATCTGACTTATTATCAGAATCATGAAGAATCTTAAAAGAAAAGTTTTAAGTCATTATTTGAATATCGTCATTTTTTGGAACACCAAAGTTTAAGACTTACCAGTCACACCAGTAATACCATTTAAAAATGTTCTTGACTTGATATTCACATAAGAATAATAATAAAGGTATTCTACTTACCAAGTGGACAAATGGAACAAAGTATCCAATCATAAAAACACCAAGAGCCACACACCATACTAAAAAGGCTTTATTCTTTAAAACAGAAAATTCAAGCAGTGGTTTCTTTTCTTTTTGCTCAGTTTGCATAGGCTTTTCTTCATTCTTAGCTGGTACACTGTAAAATATAGCTGAGATTGTACAAACTAGAACCACTCCAGCAAGAACCCGCAATGAATTTTGCCATCCTAGTTTTGTCACTGTTATAAGCATGAGAGGCCCCATAGCTAGAGTACCAAATCCACTTCCTGCTGTAACAATACCATTGGCGACACTTATTCGTCTGTAAAGGAATGATAAAACTCTTTGAATACTCCAGTATCGAGTTCATAGCGAAAAACTGCTGCTTTATTTGACAACAGATTCTCCTTTTAATCAATTATTGCTTGTCCTTGCTGTGTCTTACAAAATCTGCTTGAAAAACTAAATTATAATCTCTTTATTTACGATTCGCACGTTTTCAATAAATTGTAAATAATTGTCAGTACAATAGYGCTAACAATTTACATTTTCCCTGAGTTGAGGCTAACCGTGTATTTCCAGAAGGCTCATACCTTATGGGAATACAGGGTTAGTCTCAACTCAGGGAAAATGCAAATTTTCAAGGCTATTGTACTAACAACATTTTCTCATGCTTTCTTTTGTGTTTGGTGAGTTCTTTGCGTAATTGAATCTGCTGTCAAATAAAACAGCGGTTATTCGCTTGGAATTCAAAAATGGAGTATTTCAAACTGTATAATTCTTCAAGATGTGACTCTATGGTAACAGTTGTTGTTTTTTTTTTCAAAAAAGAAGTGTAAGGAAGTATACTATATGACAATAATATAGAAGGATTGTTCTGTTTGTTGTATGATTTCTCATGTTAATCTCAGTAATTCAATTATATATYCATCATCCTTCCTGTTCTGTTTAAATACATCAAATCTCAACAGATAATCTTCCAATTGATTTTGCATGTATAAAAATATCATTTAACTATTCTGTAAATATTTGCAATTAATTCAAACCATAATCAACTTTTAAAAAGTTCTTGAAATCTTTTAAATACTACAATAATTAGCCAAAGAAGCTGGTACTCTGGGAAACTTCACTCTATACTTACTTTCTAAACCAAAATGGCAGTGCCATGATTGATGGAAGATAGGTCATACTAGATCCAACACCCCATAGAACACCAAATGTCAGATATAGAACATACAAATCCTTAACAAATGAAGACAATATAAAAGCAAGGACGCCTAGTAATCCACCAACTATTGCTACTATCCTACATCCAACTCGCTCACATAAGGATGAAGTTATAGGACAAAACAAAAACATCAAGCCAAGGCCAATGGAGAAAACCCATGCTGAAAAAAAATTGGTTGATTTTTATTGCATATATTCAAATAAGACTAAATAGATTTTTATCTTAAAACGTGCTGTATACATCAAGTTACAATTAAACTAACTAGAAATATTCTGAGGGGAAGACCTGTATTCTTTATGTTAAAATGGTCATTAAAAACGATAATTTAATCATGATTAGGGATGAAATTCTGATGACACAAAATTCAGAATTGTTTTACCTCGCTATTAATTGATACAATAGTGTACTTGCTGATTGTTTACAACGGTATGTAAATGTGTCAATTAATTTAGTTACAACAAAATTTCCTTCAGAAGGGTAGCCATTTGTCCTGAATTGAAATTGAAAYTGAAAATGAACTTTTGCAKATCATGTGAACAACACTCCTGAAACTTTTGAAATGCAAAGTTTGCATAACACTCCAACCACCTAGTAAAACTCAKAGTTTCATTAATATTCTCAACAGAATTTYACCGCACCAGTTGAACATGGTTTCAGGTAACCTGCTTGTGTCATGAATAATTTCGGTTTGTAAGTGATATTTTAGAGCTACTTGCAGCAGTGAGAATTAGTCGTGTTCAAAAGCATCTTCTAGAGAATAGTACATTGAGCTTATTCCCTAAAAACTTTATACTCTTTCGSACAAGCTACACTTCAAGTTGCATTTCATATGGAGCTCAGTTAAGATATACGCCATATGCATGCACGGTGACAAGCAAGTCGATGGTGAATTTGCTCGAAAATAGAAACTGAAAGCTCTATACACGAGAAACATAACTTGAAATACCAAATTGGAAAAGGATGTAAGACATTTATGAACGATATCAAACATATAAATGTGCTTTTGAACACAAAACCGAATATCGGATAACAAATTTAGCGCGCCGTTTTCAACGACCCAACGGTGTGAATTAGTTAACTCCGCAACTGATATTTCTCATCACGACGTTTCCTACCTGTATCTCCTTTACTTCTTTTGAATTCTGTGAGTAGGGATCTATATAAAATGCCTGTATTATTCTGTATTCCTAAAATTGTAAACTGTGCAGTAAACCCAGCAAGACAAACAAGCCATCCCCAACCGCCCTCGGGAACAAGTTGCCGTGTCTTTATAATGTCAACTTCTTCTTGTTCGATGTGTTGCTTTTCCATTTTCCCCATCGAGTATTAATAAGTACAGATTTCGAGCTCTGAAGGCTCCCGTCCGATGGCTCTACGTTGACGAAAAAATAAAAATAACTTTTGGCAACCGGAAATGAATGAATATTGCGAAATGGTACGGCGATCGTGATTGGTTAAGACCTGGTGTGATGTGTGACGACAYACCAAGTGAAAACCCCGTCTCCCTGTTTATCGAGACGATAAAGGAATCGATCATGCGTTTTTCCCGTGACTCTTATTGAAAGTACTAGAATGTACACATTTCTTTCTCTTTCTATTTTATAACACGTTTTGGTGGGAAGTAAAGTTAATGAATTATTTTGAGCTCACACAGACACTCAGGTCAAGGATCTGTCTGTACATGACGAGTGCTTGTCTGATAGTATGCAGCTCCCGTGGAAAACAGATTTATACAAGTTTCATGTTACGCTCGACACGTTKTTRTCCCTTCTCCTTTCGACCCGCTCCCGCAGGACTCGGGGGRAAAGAGAGACGAGTCCTGGAGCGGGTCGAAAGGAGGCGAGGACTGGACTACGGCCAGAGACGGAAAAGAAAGAAAACAGAGGAAAGGTGTCACATCCACACATGATCAGATTGAAAAGCTTAAAAAAGTCGTCTCAGTTGCATTGTCACTTGATTTATTTTAGAACTGATGGTATTGTTGCAGCTTATCACAACAACATATTCTATAWTTTTCAACCCGTAAAAGAGGTTGCTAGTAACCCTCATCAGCCCCTCTCCCTGGATCAGTTTTTRGCCGTCGGAATTTTAATTGTTTGACGATGGCTCTGAACACGATAGGACGACTGTGCACACCAACTTCGKGATCATTCATATTGGAAATAATACACTAAAATCAACTTCTACAAAATCGAAATTATTTTTTCATGCGCGTTTTCAATGCACATTTGTTATGTAGGATGTTTTCATTTTATTTTTTGGGGGACAGTTGGGGGAAGGGCGATCCTGCATTCTGCATCAGTGGAGTTGTTTCACTTATCAATTAAAAATACAATAGTGACACTACTARTAAACAACTATATTTTGACGTACTGGTTACTTTTTTGATGATTGTAAGATATTGCCCATTGAAGAGAAGTGTTCATAAAAAGTGTGTGCGCAAAGRATGTATGAAAGTCCATTATAGCTGTAAAAACTCGAATAATTTCCCTTGTKAAAAGATTCACATCAAAAACCAAAGGGGATAATATCACATTCAGTACAGWATAGAATTTTATTAACACAGTACCACTTTTTTCTCTCTAGGGCCGGCTGCGCGTAGGATTGATAAAGTTATCTACTAGATCACTGCTCTTCACCCTTCGTACAAGCGACCCCAGTACAATGCCATAAATAAATAATAATACAAGGTATTCATGAACAACATTAAAGGACGTTATGTATACTTTTGAATAATTAAGTCTGTATCAGCTTTTAAATCAGCTATTCGGCCATCTAAAATTCGCTGAAGTTCTTTTTCGCGTCGATTTTCTTCGGTTATAAAGTCGGCAGTCAGAGATGTTCTTCTTGATCCAAAACTACCAGCAGTGTTCTATTTGAAGATACAAACKAGTTATTCTTGAATGATTAATGTCCTAGTCTATACATTATTCAACATTTGATAGTTTAAAAACKTAAGCCAACACTGATGACAGCTAATATTTCATAGACTACTAATAGTCCAAGTGAATGAGAGAAAGAATGCGAATGGGTACAGTTTGGTTGTTTAGAAAAGTGGTAAGGGTGCTGGACGGACCCTTACAGGCTTTTGATGTCTTCAAACAGATTTATAGAGAGTAAAACAGTGGGAATTCAATTACCCTATTATRCTGTAACAATATTTTAGTTGTTAAGAATTTTGTTGTGCACAGGCATATTATTATTAAAATAAATCCATTTTACTCAGAAGACTCAAAAGTATTAATAKTTTAGTTGTCCAGTCACAGACCCAAGCGATACTGTACATGTAGTAGCAATCAATGGAGACCAGACAGCTAAGGCAGTCGCCAGGATCGACGAGCAATGATTATAACCATGCCGACCGTCGAGCGCCTTTATTACCTGTTTGGGACTCCCGATTAACCTAATCTCGTACAAAGGGCCTTCACTTTTGCCGTCCAGTAGATCGCTCACAAAAATCSGTGAAGAATCTGGGTTCGAGATTGAATTTGCTCAGGTAATTTGGATTCCATACCTCTGTTGTGGCTGCTCCTCCAAGGTCTGCATAAGTTAAAGCTTCAGTGTCCGTATATTCACTGTTACTTGTGTGACCCCCATCTAGTCTATTTTTATTTTCAACGGTCCCTGTAAAAAACATTTGTTTAATCTTTAATTTGGAATTGCASTAAATAAAAATTGCTTATGCCTTAGGGAATCTTTTTGGGTGCCAATTTGGAGTTTCTGGAAATTTGCATTTTCTGAAATCTCTTTATTAAGCTTTATCTCTTTATTATCTCTTTATTAAGGTGTCGGAAAAGAAGAGAAAGGGCGCATCGATATTGATTTTCCTCTGCGTTTTTATCATTGAAACGGATTTAACTTAACAATATTTGTTGTGMAGTCTCTTAGGGGTTAAAAATCAGTCAGCCACGCTCTTTTTTCAAGACTTCCGGGATCTTTTAGGGGTCTTTTTGAAAATTTCTCACGAGCATCACCGGTACCTTTGCCCCCCAAAGTTCCCCCCRGGTGTGATACGGATAGATAAGTTAAAACTCTGAGCCTTTAAACATAACATTTCAGAATTTAGTCTCGGCATTCCAAAACTGATGTCCAAAAATGAATATGAATATGCTGTAGCCTATCATATTCATAATAGGCATCAGTTTCGAGGTTAGGTAAGAATCAGGCAATGATTATAGTAGAGTAGTCTCCTCTCGCAGCCGTTAGGACGTTTATAAATATGATTTTTAGCGATATAACGAATGTGATTTAGCGAATTTTGAAACATCCGGACGACCATATGGCACTATGAGATACATGAYATAGAAATAAAGAGTTTTAGTATAAAYAWACTAATGGYCTATCACTCATACTGCGCTGTGATTCGCTACTSTACTAATGGTCTAATTTATGATAGAYCASTCGCGGGAAAATCAATCTCATTAATAAATTATTTTAAGGATATTTCAATTTGTTTTCATTATTTGACCGATTAGTATGTTTATACTAAAACAATTAGACCTCTCGACCTCGAGGACTACGAGCTAATAGCCCATTCGGCCTCGCGGACTCGGCCTCATGAGCTATTAGCTCGTAGTCCACTCGACCTCGAGGTCTAATTGTTAAATAGTACTAGGAAGGAGATTATTCCGAAAGAAAGACCCTTGGAAATAAATTCGGAAAAAATAATTTCGGACCTCGTTGGTAGAGCATCGGTAACACAAATCCGAGGGTCGTGGGTTCGAATCCCATCGAAATGGGAAATTAATTTTTCCGAATTTCCAGTTTCCAAGAGTTATTCTTCTTATTATTATAACCTCCTTATAAGAAATATAACTTTCCTTTATTTCTAGTTCAATGATTATAGTAAGGTAAAATCTCTTTCTTGCTTGATACTTTCTACCATTTYATTTCTAGCATATACAAGATGATGATCATTCTCACCTTTCTTGTCAGACGACCATCTTGTTTTTGMCATTTTACGGTTTTCATTCTTCAAGAAATGTATTTGTGCTTCGTAGTTTTTTATAGTGGACCCCAATCTATCCTCTAATGTCGCAATTTTTCGTTCAGCACTACCCAGATGTTCACGTTGTCTAWAAAACGTATCTGAGATTGTGTGAAGATGACAACAACTATCAATTTACCAATAACAATTACTGTACCTTGCTTCACTGTCAGTTAAGGCTTGATAAAGTTTATTTTGTTGATTGGCTTGCTCTAAGGACAGTTGATCTCGTAAATGCACCACCTCAATTCTTAACTCTCGGTTTTCATTCTAATGATAAAAACAAGATTAAAATGGCATGAACCAGGGAATTGTACGGGAGGGGGACACAATAATGGATTTTACTACGCCGTATTCAGATAAGACGATCCTCAGAAAAACTAACAGGAACTCACGAACTTAATGCTAAATCTAGTGGCAATCATACAAACTAGAAGTCTCTTTATATACACAGACACCCAACTGCATAAGGGTTGTCCTAGAAACTGAACTTTTACCATAAGCAATTAATTAGACAAGAAARGCTTCAGTGGTCTTATAATGTCTTTATATGGACTCCTATGTTCTTACATCCCCAAGATTTAAGTGAGTTTAGGGGTATGCTATTTTTTGACAGAACAGATTTYGGATCAAAAGGACAAAAAGAACAAAACAAACACCATGACTAAAACAAATCTGTAAGATTAGAAACAAAATATGAAACAAACAAAATAAAAGAAAACCAGAACAAATAAGCATATTACTAATAGCTGCATCTCACCTCTACTTGTGCAATGAACTCCATATTGCCCTTGTAAACATCAGAGAGGTCCAGTTGATCATGCGCTGAATCTCGTAAATGTTTATTTTCTAACCTRAGTGCTTCTAATTGTGCGTTGGTCACCTAAAGTATATACATAACCAGTGATGCAAAGTTTTCATCGAGATTGAAACTTGAGAATTATGATTTTTTTGTGCACACAAAGTATTTGCTGGTTTTCAAGGTGGTGTGTGAACTCGTACAGTAATTCCCTACTGTCCTTTGTTCCAATAATTCTCACCTGTAGTTCTGCAGCACAGCTGTCATATCTAGTAGTGGCATCTCTCAAATCTTTCTCCATTCTTTGGATTCTTTCACTAACATCTGCCATGGATGTGTCCCTGCATTAAGTAGTTATGTGATCTACATTATCATGATTTTATTCATAGTTTCCACTTGAACACAGCGATCATCATCATCAGAGTATAATCAAGATTATCAYGATAAAGGTATTACTATCAAAATAMTGATYACCAATCACTGTCACCATCATTTCCCTATAMCAATCACTGCCATTTATATCACAAACATCAAAATCAACAGCAAGCCCCTGTCAATTCTACTGCCTATTACTCTTTTCAATGAATTGGCTAAGACGCCAGYCTTTTTCTACTGCATTGCCCATGTAAGGAAATCTGGAATCCACTAAAAAATTACTTTGKAATCTGGAATTCAGRTCTTTGAAATACTGGAACTCAACAGTTGAACTTAAGGGTTAAAAAAATGAAATCAGTGTAAATCATAATTGTTATTTGGTATTATGTACTAAAAAGTACACACCAACTGACAATATACATGCACATTTATTAGCCAGTCACCAGGACTGCTCTTACAAAATATTCACAAATGAACCAAAATCAAAACATACAAATTTGTGTATTGTAGCAACCAAAATCTGGAATCCAGAATCAAGCACTTGGGATCCAGAATTCCCTTTCATGGGGCTTTGTGTGATCCTGGTTGATTTGGTTTGTAAAGTGTCTTGTTCTCTTCCTATCAATGATTTTTAACTCGAAGATTGCAAAGCAATYGAAGAGTTATAGGAGGGAGATGAGGGAGATGATGTGTGAGGGGGACTGGTTAATTAGTCACTAATTTTTTCTGTAAACATATGGGCATTTAGAAATCCGTAACCAAGATGGTCAGATGGCGGACGACTCTGTGTTTTGGTACAGAAATGGCTTTTAAACACACAAAATGTGATTTTTGATGTCTGGAAGTTCCTGTATAAGATTCCTAGCAAATAAGCTTAATCTATTGATTTCAGAAGTCTTTTTAGGAGATATTGTGTCAATATGTCACATAGATACAGTATTCTATTATGATGATTTCAAGGCCTTTCAAGGATTATTCCGATCGACGTGTCTTAACTCATCGACTCATTTAAACTTTACCCTTAGTAAAAATCGATGCACGGACCACACTACAACAAATAAGAACTCAAAATATAGATTTAAACGGTCAGCATTCAAAGTGAATGTATCATCACTTTAAACTAAGAAATTGTGATGGTTTTGATAATTCATTGTCGATTTACGGATGCCTATAAATTTAAATTCAAAATTTCTAGTTTGACAATATTTTCATTTTATAGATTTTTTGTGGAAATAGACCATATCTGAACAAATTCTGGGGTTTCATACAGATACACGGTATAATTATTTGTCTAACAATCTTCGGGTTGTGTCGGCATTGGCGGCTTGATTTTATGCTGGAGTCAGTTACAATATGCTGTCTACATATATTTTTCATTTTTTATGAATCAAGGATTAAAATTACCTTTTATGTAGTTCAGATGCTAAAGTCTGTACTTCAGTCTGCATACCATGCACAGCTCCAAAATGTCCTTCTTCTACAGAAAACAGTTTTTCCTGCAGCTACATTAGAAAATAGCTGCATTAAAAAAATAATAAATAGTATTCACACACAATGAACTTCCCCATCCCCATTGATCTTTTAAATTTTTCCATCATCTGTGTCCTTCAATCATCTCACTTTGGTCAAATTACTATGCATTTATGATAAAAATGATAAATAATGATCAGCAATCACAGTCACCATCATTTTACAGCTGTATTTCAGAATGGAAATTTTAGAATTAATTTTTTTGCATTCATCCACTGGAGCTTTAGGAATCCAAGAAAAAAAATCTTGCATTGACAACTAATTTCATGCTTAAATAACAATAACAATCATGAAAGTATCCTTAAAGAATGCTTTTGCCATATGTCAAATTCAGAGAAAATGATGAAATGAGTGCACATAATGAGAGCAACCAAACCTTGGCTATTTCATTTACAAGTCCTTGCAATTCTTCTTCTTTAATTTTCTTTAATTCCTCTTCCTAAAAATGAATGAATTACAATAATATAGCTCGCCAGCAGTGCACATCTGAAGCTCTTTGGCTGTGATGATTACCTTTTTCTTCAAATGACTTTGTAATTTAGCATTCAGTTTGTTGCCATCCTCTAGCCTAATAAGAGAACATTGTAATAAGAATAACCTTTGATTTAGAAAATATTAGCAATATTGTATCTTACAATAGATGCCTTAAAGGGACAATGTCAATGGATGACATGCRCAGTAACAGTCTTGCTCTAATGGACTTTGAAAGTATTACTACCTTTGAGGTAAATCAATGTTTTGACACACTTTGGAATATTCTTGATCTGTTTACGTTTACGAGTACTTTTTTGTCATGCGTCACGCCAACTTGGAGTCATAAACTTGAAAACATTAGCCTAATCTTTTCAAGTTTACTSGCGCATGYGTGCCATTGACAGTGTCCCTTTAAGCATRTAGCAATTGCTACGACTTATCATATAGTATTGTTTGAGGTCATAKTACTTTTTATTAGCATGATTAAGTTCTTCTCTTAGGAAGGCTTCATTGTCAGCATGTGACCTGCAATTCAAAAATATTYTAAATCAGTACTAATAATCAAGTAATCAAGTAGTTTGTAAGCAGAGGATTTAGAAGCAGTTTTCTTCAGAGTTAAGAAATATATAAATATGTCATAAAGTATGTTATCATTTGATATCAATGAGAAAATAACAGCATACTGTATTTCAATTCTTGTTGTTCTTAGGTCTTCTTTTAAATTTTTCATTTCCATATTTTCCACTCTTGTAGTTGCTCCTTCAAATTGTCTGTCAAAAAAATGAAAATGTCACATACCTTGTATGTATTTACAACTTAAAAGGTGATAGTTATAGGACCMAACTAACCTAATGACTTCATCCTTCAATACTAAGCTATGCTCTAACTTCATGATATCMTCTGAGTGCTTTTGTTGATCTTGTTCTGCAGCCTGTTCAGATAWAAAGTATTAGCATATATGCTATATGCCCAGGCTATGGCATGATGAAGCAAATTCCTTACAATTTTATTGACAATAGGATTGAATCATCCTGTCTCGCACAATTCACATCCAGTGCCTACACCTAGTAACTGAATTAGCATTATTGCTTATTGTAACTTAAGGTGATATCATCAAAGTTTACACCAAATTGGATTTTATCAATAAGTAATATAAAGTAAAATTCAACAATATTTGCCTAAACACGCCATATTATACCATTACTTGACGTAGAGAAGGTCATTTTATTAGTGCAGGCAATCTTTTGACACTGAAACACTGTAAAAATCATAATATTTGCATTCCCTTTCCATCTAATCTTTCATGATAAAACCTTTTAGAAACTGACTACATTCAAGTAT